TAGGGCATGTAATTAATGTTTTTCGAATATGATACATTTATTTTGCATATTCTCATATCTCGTTTTTATCTATTAATCAGAGGTAATTAGAGAAGTGTCAGGCTTGTTTGACGCAAATACGAATATAGACACGTATTTTGCATTGCTTACAATGCAATATATATTTTAGTACATATTAAAACGTCATTTTCTATTGTATTTAATAAGTTTTTAGTTCTTGTTGAAAGAAGAGAACAAACATACAATCAAACATACAACAAGATATTCCGCGCCGAGAAATAAACATATAATTTGAAAATAAAAATAAAAATAAAAATAAAAATAAAAATAAAAATAAAAGTAAACATATAACTTGAAAATAATATCGTTGAAATGTACAGCAATCTACTTGTCGTAGAATGTTTACTTTTATAGGCAAGTTAAAAATATGATTACGAGAATATACAACTATCTTGATTTATTTACAGGCGATGAAAGTATACATTTGGACATTCGAGGTGATGCTATATGCATATAATCACTTTCTTATTATTTATCATCAGCATCAATAACATTTTAATATGTACTAAAATATATATTACATTGTAAGCAATGCAAAATACGTGTCTATATTCGTGTTTGCGTTAAACAAGCCTGACACTTCCCTAATTACCTCTGATTAATAGATAAAAACGAGACATATGCAAAACAAATATATTATATTCGAAAAACATTAATTACATGTCCTAAGGTAAGAAAAAAAAACACCGCACAAGGATAAACTCTCTTCATCGCCGGGTTTCGAAGCCTCGTTGCCGGCTCAAAAATTCTCGACGTGGGAGCCTCAGTTTGCTCGGCCACGCCACTTCGTTGAAAAATAGTCGCATTTTTAGTCATATCCGTGATACAGTCTCGCAATCCAAACTTTATATTGTAATTTCTCATAAACAAAGGCTCATTGGCACAAATCCCAATTAGGATGTTGATGCTTAACATCGCAGCTAGCGAACGTGCTATATCTCGTTCAGAAATCGATTTAGCACGTTGTGGCATCTCCTTGTTTCACTTTTTTCCCACCTGTAACTGTAACATAACTCCTTCACTTTTTTCCCACCTGTAACTGTAACATAACTTAGTAATTTATTTTTAGTAACTTGTAACTTTTTTAACAGTTACTTTAATAGTTACTTAGGGAACGTAAAATAAAATTAAAATTATATGGTAATTGTATATTAATTTGGTAACCCAAATAGCATAGAAAATTCCAAAAGAATTAAAAAAGAATCCAATCGTATGTCACCAATAAAAATGAACTGTGTTCATTTTTAGATGCAAAAAGAATTCTTCAGAGTTTAGTTCAGTGAAAAGAATTCTGTATACATTTAAAAATAAACTCAGAATTGGTGACATACGACTGAATTCTCTTTAAATTCTCTGTGCTATCTGGGAAATTATCAATGTATTTATGGAGCATGTGATTAAATTCTTTTACCTCTACAAGGTTATCATTAAATTTTGTTATATTAAGTACAGATTTGAAATTTGTTAAATAGATTGACTAATTGATGTGATAGATGTTAATTATAAAATTCAATTCTTACATTTTAGTAAAACTTAAAATGTAAGATTTTTGTATTTACAATAATAATTTACAATCATTTCAAGAAAGTAACTTAAAAGTAATGACTCATTACTTTTTGAGTAATTGTAACTGTAATGAGTTACTTTTCATAGCCAGTAACTTGTAACTGTAACTAGTTACATTTTCAGCAAAAGAAACTGTAACTGTAACTAATTACTTTTATAAAGTAACTTTCCCAACTCTGATATATATGCAGATTAATTTAATAGCATTTATTTATTTTTTTCTATTCTATTTTTCTTTTGTATATATGTGTATATGCATTATTGTCCATATAACTGAAACTATTTTTATCCTCTGTGTTATTTAAGTTTTATCCTTTGTGTATTTAAGTCTTTGTATAAAAGCGTATGCTTTCACCTCATCCTTTATGTCCTTATTCTAGCTATATTATTCTACCATAAATTCCTTTCACATTCAGAATGTACACAATAAAGTTAGTATTATCATCATATTTCCAATATTATTCAGACAGAATATTATTTTTAAGGTAAAATATAAAATCAGTAACGCGAAATTATTGCTATTGGAATAATCAACAGTCACGATAGACGAATATCCAGACACGCTATGCGCGTAATTGAAAATTTCAAGTAATTTCTAGTTTCTAATAAGTGTCAAAAGATCAACATTGACGAATGTACACTGAACGTGTGCGGAACAGGGACGGCTCTTTAATCTTCGCCTCTTCGATAATAATCTTTCTCTGCCAACGTAATTGCTTAACTCGCGCGAGTAATATGGTTATCTCGGCCGTCGTCGATCAAGCCTTGAAATCGATCGGATCGCCATGGTAGATCTCATCCGTGAAGCGGCGCAATTGGTACGGCCGGGGGCATCACCGCGAGATGTAATGGTCTTCGGGTGCGATTGAACGGAGTAGCTCGCGTACACGTATAGAATGAATCGTAGGTCGTCGAGATTCCCTCCTTAGTCTGTCACTACCTCCAGCCCATCGCGCGTCCCGCTGACGCATCCTTTGTTACTGTACACTCTTTACAATCTCACCTTTAACCCCACTGAACTGTCTCGCTCGGTACTGTCTCTCATTTCCTTTGTCTTCTATTCTTTCGCTTCCTTTCAGCACTATCTCTAGACGAGTCACGCGAAGTGGTCTTAACATACCTTCGTTGCCGAGTAGTTTGGGAGACCTTTCCTTCGTTTGCGCGACGATTAAACTTTATCAAGAAACGCGAAGAGAAGCTATATTTGTGTCAATACATATACAGTATACAACAACTTCGCGAGAAATACGTATACCCTTAAAAATTACAATAAGATGCTCTTTTTGTGGATATAAATTTTTAAATAATTTAAATAATATAATCTTTAAATTTGTATAGTAATTTTTAAATATATATATTTATAAAAATAGTAATTTTTAAATAAACTAATTTCATTGATATAGTAATCTTGTAAAAAATATGCTACTGTATATTTTTTGCGAGGATGAGAAAGCATTTGTGAGTGGGGAGAAATAAATTATTATAATTTTTAAGTAAACCAATTTCATTGAAAAATAAGAACTTAAAAGAAATTTGAACTTTTCTGTAATCTGATCTGATTGTAATGACGCTAGATTAATGCCTATAAATGTCAGTTAATACAGAGATATCAATATATACATTCACTTTTCCATCTGATTTATGCCATTCAAATACATCATCGTCGTCGTTGTCTACTGTTTCCCCTTTGCTAAATTTAAATTTAGTAATTTTCTTGTTAGCGACATTATTGTAATATCAGACATAATTATTAAGCAAACTTTTTTCGAAGAAGGAGTGAGTCAGTTGTACGGGACAATGGAATAATTCAATATGGCAGCGCACCCACAACTTTTTATACAATTATATACTTTATAAGCTCCATATACAAATGTTATGAGAAGCAGTATATTTGTCGGAAATAGTATATTTGTCTAAGTGGAGTGTAAATCCCATGAAATTGAAATCAAAAGATTGTGGCTTTTTTTTGTAATATAATCACAATAACTATGTAGGAAGATTGTAAAAAATAACTGAGGAAACACAATAGTGATAGGAGCAAAAAGGAAAAAAAGAGATACAAAGAGAGGATAATATAATAAATAACATTTAATATTTATATTATATAAATTATATAAATTAACAAATATTTACATATAAATATTTATAAACATATATAAATATATATAAATACTTAAATTGAGTAAACAATACTCGGCTTAAATAAAAAGAATTTTAATTTAAGTAAATATGTTAATGGTACCCACTTAATAAATATTTGTTAATTTAATTTTTATTTATTTAATTTAATTAATTTAATTTTTAGATATTTTTTTCTCATTGTGATATATTGCTTAGATGTTCAAGTTTTCACGAAGACCATAAAGTTCCACAAATTTACACCAATTGACAATACTGACTCAGAATTGATTCGGTATGGGACTTGATTGACGGACGTATATATTGACCGCAGATATAAAATCGTAGATTAGATTGAGAACGAATATCTGAATTTTTCAGCGGGTTACTCGCGAGTGAAGGCAATGTAGCGATAAGTTGTCGTCTTCTAACGAAAGGCATCCTGTTACAGTTGCCTGAATAGGGCGGATTTAATCAGGGTGCACGACGGAACGGATTCAGAAGCGCCCACAATAGCCGTGCTCTGCAACCAAGGAGCGGAAGTAGAGGTACTCAGCACGGGACGAGACCTCTTCGTCGAGTTCATCGCTAATTCCGAGTGGCCGGGCCAAGGCTTCAAGGCGAAGTTCCAATTCCAGCCATTGGACGAGGCGCCGCATCCTGGTCGGTAACGAACGACGTTACTCGTCGACATTACGAAAATCCATCCTTTCTCGACCCTTCGATCCCGCCACAGCCACAGTTACCGCCTCCCCCATGCCTCTTTCTTCGGCACCATCTCATCTTGCGATGTATACCGCGGCTATTGGTGACGCTTCCACCCAGGTGAGTCCCCAAAGCTACGGGACGAGCCATTAAATTATCCATTACTTCACGTGGCGCACTGGCATGCTGGCTGGAGAGGCGTCTTTCGGGCTTCTTCATTGCCTAAGCTATTAACCCAAACTGTCCACTTTACGGCAATTTTCCGGTATTAAGTGACGTCAATATATGTGCGCGAACGCTAACTTCCTTATTATAGTAAAGCACTGATCACTCGATGCGAGGGAAGATAAAAGATATCTTTTGCTGTAGAGATGTTACGTTTTTATGTCTCACGGTAATGTTTTACATCTTTATGCATTCTTGATTTCACTTCAAACGTATACATCCTCAGTATGAAAAGTAACGAACTAAATATATATTTACTGTAACGGTTTGAAGGAATAACAGAATGTTCGCAGCAAGACGATGTTATCAGGTCCAGATAAAACTGAATTATTGAAGTGCGCGCCAGCTCATAAACTCAGCCGGTACCGAATTGAACTAAAGCGCGAGAGCTTCGGGAATTCCATATTGCGCGTCGCTGCGCCAAAGCGCGAAAGCACCATGAGGCAGAACTTCCATATAGCTTTTCTCCGAGCTTTTCGCAGTCGGCAAGGAAGAGCACGAGGCTTTCCAGCGCACCGTAGTATCTAGAGAGCTTGTGGAGAGCTTGCGCGCCTCTTCCGCTCTTTGCTTGCTCGGTAATCGCGAGTCCATCGGATGTCTTTCGCGATTACACGTCGCTCGTGGCGTTTACCCGTTGCGTATTCTGCGTCACGCGACCTTGCCGCTTACAGATATGCAATGTGATGATAAACGGACAAAGGACGAGATTGATTGCAAAATGATAGCCGGATTTCGTACCTTAGCCCGATATCCTGTTAATTATCGGTAATACCGTCTCGCTCATCCGACCATCAAGCCGCTTGGCCAGCAAATTCGATCAGCTCGCACATTAATCAATATTACGACATAATGCACCGATTAATCCGTTGCTGTGCGCTCACTTGGCTGGAAAGTGAGCCGGCATCTTTACGTATTTACGAGGCGATGAATCATACCGGCTGGTCCTTTGTGCTAAGGCAGATTGGCTGCGGTCCATTGCACATGCGATTCCCCGTTGTAATTAACGGCACTGTATATTCTGGGGATAATTACAATAATGTGTTTCAGAGCTGAACAAGGTCGTCCCAGGGGCTGTTACGGGAAACCCCAAGCACTCGGTCATCGGGCCGGCTGTCAGCGCTACCAGTAAGTATACGTTGCATGTATGCGTGCACGATTTATCACCTTTCTTAATCAATAATTGCCCCGCTGCTGCGTCCCATGGCACGCGCTCCTCCGCGAGAGGAGAAAGTTCGCACGAAGTGAAAGACGCCTGTGTTAAATCGGACTTCACTTTAGGCGTGACAGGTGTAGATTTCGACCTACCGCCGAAGGAATGTAAAAGCGTCAGCCGATAAATACCGATATGGCTCGGCGAGTCTTAAGTTGGCTTCATATAGAAATTATCGCGCCGCATGGGGCTCGCTGAAATGTAATCTTGAAAACGTGACGCAGTCCACAGTCGCGGAAACAGGATATTCTCGATGTAAAATAAAATTTTACCTTAGATGTAACACAGTTTTATGAAGTCTGAAAGAATAAGTGTAACGTCAGCCCCGGGGGTATATGGTCCTTGTCGTTGTTTAAAAGGATTATTTTGATGTCTTCAACATGAACGCTCGACGAATACGTGTAGAAATATGATTTTCCCCAGAGCCCTCGGCACATAACTTCTCCGTAACGCAGCGGCGTATAAACTTTGTGAGTACTTTGCGCTTGTAGAATCATCACCCGTATGTTACTGGCGTGGCGAAAGCTCGACGGACTACGAACTTTACGGCTTTTTCATGAAAATAAGATGCTTGTCTTATACCCTAAGTATCCGCCATAAATTCGGTTGACAAGTAGCTCCAGTCGATGACCTAACTTCCGCTCGTTCATTCGTGACTACGAATTTAATTTACGATCTCCTTCGCCGAGGCGTGGAAAGACGCGATTTAGCTAAATATTAGGATTTCCCATAAGTAATCAAGTATTTGCATAATTATTAATCTTATCAGTTTATCTTATCAGTTTATCTTATCAGTTTCTGTGCTTTAGCTATGTAGCATATACTTTCTTTTAATGTGCTATTTGGCTAAAGTGTTTAATTAATTTTATCATTGATTAATCTATTTGCATCAAAAGTGAACATATCCGTTTATTTCTTGCATCAAAATCGCCGTACCCAAAAGAATTTTTCAAATCGCGATTTCTTATTGAAAATGAAACGAGTCACAATAATCATGCGTTTTTAACAAACGATATTATTGATTAGTTAATTTACATCAGAAGCAAAAAAACTTTAAGTATTAGAAAATACTATTTAGAGTTTTTGGAAAATAAATCGAAAACTATTTAAGAAAACTAAAATTAGTTTTCGCTAAGTTGTAATTCGCCAAGTTTTTTTTATAATATATTCTTTATAGATTTTGTTTGTCTATATCAATTTTAATGAAATATCAATTTTTTTAAAAGTACATTTTGAGAAAGTATCAAGAAATTGATCGAATAAGACAGAACCTCATTTATTTTGCAAAAAAGTAATGTTTGTTTTTAATAAATATTAATGTGTGTAATTAAATAATCTTGTAAGTAATAAAAAATAATACGTGTATTTAACTGAATAAAAACAGGAGGGTAAGTAAAGTTTCTAAGTAAAAAATCTGAAAATCATATTTTGTTTAACTCTATCAATATTATAAGCAAACAAAATTGTTTTTATTAAATTAATCTGTTATACAATTTTTAATTCTATTATAATATATTATATATATAATAATATTGTAATGTTGTAATATATTTTATACATGTATATAACACAATTATCCCTTAAAATACTCCACATTGTCACATTTTTACTTTTTCATAGTGTATTATTGTATATGTATATTTGATAGATAGACTACATGAAAGCTACATTTCAGTTTTACATGTAACAAAAGACAAATAAGAATTTATGGGATAAATTGATTATTAAACAAAAGTTTAAACATTTTTTTAAAGTAACTTTTAAAAAGTACTTAAAAGTTATTTAAAAAAGTAACTTTACAAAAGTACTTAAAAGTTATTTAAAAAAATAACTTTACAAAAGTAACTTTTAAAGTTTTTAAACTTAAAAGTTTAAAAAGTTTAAAATTTATCTGATGAAAATTGCGAAACATAGAAACTTCAAAACAGCTAAGTTCAAAACAGCTGATTATTCGTATTTTAGGTTAGGTTAGATTGGAAGCCAAGTAGGTAATAATTTTACTGCTGTCGGGTTGGTTGCGACATCTAATAGACTAGAAATCGTAATAAAATTCTCTATTACCCGATTATTTCTTAATACCCGCACGGAAAAGAAGGTTTGGTTGAATTAACCAAATATCTGGTCGAATATGAACGATCCAGAAATTTCGATTGAAGTAACCCGAATTCTGTTTAAGTTAACAAGATTTTTGATTGGCTTAAACAGAATTCGGGTTACTTCAATCTAAATTTTTGGATCGTTCATATTCGACCAGATATTTGGTTAATTCAACCAAACCTTTTTTTCCGTGCGAAGTTTCTCTATCCGTTCATTTCCTGCAGCAATATTGGCGTGCTCAAGAGAGTTCTAGCAAATCATAATTTTTTACCAAAAATAGATCAAATCATAAAAATCACGTATTTTTACGCGTTTTATTGCATTTTATGTCGAATTTAAAGAATAAAAATTCTGCGATTTTGGGTATATTTTTTGAATCTGCTTATGATACAAATATTTTAAAAAGTAAAATCTCGTTCATAAACTCAAATATTTTTATTTTAAAATATTTGGATATTTATTTCACTTCTAATGGGTACCTCTAATATATCGTATGCGTGAACAATAAGGTGTAGTTGAATTAACGTGACAATAACAACTAAATGCCGTTTTGAAGGAAACAGAACTTTTGGTTCTTAAGGACCGAATTTAATTTTCATAAGAATTACAAATTCTGTTTCCTTTAACCACAACGCGTTTGGTTGCGTCATTGTTATGTTAATTCAACCAATATTCTTTCTACTGTAGTTGTCGCGTGTAATACCATATAATACTCTATAAGTTTCTCGAAGTGAATCTCTGGAAACGAATGAAAATTCATTCAAAATGATAATGAAAATACTGCCGCTTGAAATCACAGGAGTAAATGTTTTATTAAGTTATGTTAAGTTTAGAATGGATCTTGTTTTCATACAAGTGAACACTTCGATCGATTAGAGTGAATTTGTTATCTCCGTGCAGCTGACCTCTACTACGTGAAAACTAAAAGAACGAATAGCTCAGCATTAGAAGGAATTTTGATTTTGAGATGGACGAGAGTGCTGAGCGAACTTCCACTTAGCTCTCCCTCTAATCTCTTGAAATATGAATAGAATCAGGGATAATTGCAGAATTAAGAACTACTTATAACTTTCAAGCTAGCATAATTTTGATTTCTGGGTTCTATTTCTTGTAATAACCCGCAAACATTTTTATGCTTAAAAGATGATTAATAAAAAAAGTTCTTTATTAACTAATAATTAATAAAGAAAGTTCTTTATTAATTAATAAATAATAAAGAAATAATTAATAATTTTGAATGCATAATTTCTTTCATTGATGTTATTCTTGGATTAATACACTTACAAAATATATAATCCTCGATTTTTAAGTTATAATTCCTTGATGCAAGGAAACATCCTTTACAACCAGTGCTCAAGAGAGAACTATGTTTAAAAAACTACAAATAAATTATTTTTCACCAGAAAATATTTTTCGCATTTATGAACTCACAAAATTCGTATACTTTGATGTTTGAAATAGAGAGATTCTGTCTTGAGTGCGAGCGATAAAGGATGATGTTCTCGAAAGGAAGTTGCAACTAAAGAATCAAAATATAAAGAATGTTTTCCTGCCAACAGTTTGCACTTTAAAAATCAAGAATTATATATTTTGTAAATATATTAATCCGGGAATAACTCTGATGAAAGAAATAATGAATTCAGTTCTTTTCCTTATGAGTTATCCTCTTGAAGTACTGTTTAAGAATTGTTACATAGAATGAAGTTTAAAAATCAAAACTGTGTGTTAGCTTAAAAGTTTATAAACAGTCCCTAATTCTGCAATTATATTCTCAATCCCGTTTATATGATTTTAAGAAATGAGAAGGCTGAGTGAACGTTCACTCAGTTTCCCTATATAGAAACAAAAATTCCTGGAATTCAAGGAAACGAGCTCACATGTTTTGACCAGCGAAGATCGAAAGTTCATGAATAAGCTCTTAATTTTAAGCTATTCATCATTTGGTTTTCATGTGGCAGAAAGGCCAGTTGCATTTGTTTCTGTGTGTATATATGAGAAAAAGACGGGAGAATATGTCAGATTTATTCTTCAATTTCGAGTGAACGTATTCATTCGACGATTTAGAGTGGACAATTCACTTTACATGAATAAGAGATTATTCGAGTTTAAGTAACTCAACTTTATACTTACTGAGTGAAATTTCACTCCATTTAAAGACTGCTTATATTACATATCACGATCCAATAAAGAAGAAAACACGTTGGAACGTAAAATTTCGCCAGAATTTAGCATCAACTCGTGAGGGATTTTTCTCTCAGTCGTAACTCTCGCAGAGAGAGGAGAAGCACTCAATACACACAGCCGTGGAATCTCGCGCTTTAATACGCACATTCAAATCATTCAAATATTCTCGGGCTTAGCTCTAATCTCAATTTGTACATGGGACCCTAGACCCCGACATGTTTACTCATGTAAATCTATCTCGTAATACGGCTGAACAACAACAGCGGTAGTGGAGGTAGGAACGCGTGGCAATGAGAGCCTCTACCAGCACAACGGAGTCATGAGAGTGCTCGAGTGCTCGAGGCTCGAATGGGAGCATCCTATGAGATACCGAAGCTCGTCGAGGTCGATCCTGTACCGTCTTCCGACCCTCCTCTTGCGATGCTTAGGTTTACCGTAAAACACGCTGCGCGCGTTGTATCTACGTGCTTTTATACGCCCACCCCTGCTTTCGTATGCGCGCGACTCTTCGCCAAGTGCTTTAAATTATCCGCGCAGCTGCACCGTACGTGCGCAAAGTATGCCCCCGCTGACGCATTTGTCTCGCGTCTTTGAAAGAAATCTATTATCAGCAAAGATCAGTTCTGCACGGCAC